CTTGTGCTGCCCTGCTCGCTGTAGTCTGCGCCTGCTGTGCGACGACGGTGGCCATCGTTGCCTCCTTCTTTGTATCCTGTAAGTCTTTAAGCATGTCCATCATCATCTTCTTCATTTTCGTCATCATGCCCTTCATGTCCAATTCGATATTTTCCTCTTCCGCCTGCTCTTCCTCCTCCTCAGCCTCATCGGCCTCCGCCTTCTCACCAGCATGCTGCATGCCTGCATCCTCCCCTTCCTCCTTCGTGCCCGAGCGCGCGATCTTCTTGTCTGATGCCTCGGCGTTGCCCCCATTCGCCTTCACCTTCCTGCCCTCGCTCATGTTCACTGCGGCCTGCCTGCTCTGGCTGACCAGGTGAGTGATAGCGTGGCTCACTCGAGCCAAATGGCCAAACTTGAGCCCAGCTGGCCAAACTTGAGCCAAGATGGCCAAACACGAACGAACGAAAAAATGCGAAAATAGGTACACGCATACACAACTGCACACATCACAAGCGCACGCATGTGCACAACAAAGCAATCCCGCAGATGCATGTCCAACAATATACTAGCACAAATCTGCACACACACACACACACGTGCACGTGCACACGCACAACCGCATATACATACATGCACATACCTATACGACCACCCTTCGGGTGATAAGGAGGTTCGGGGGGAGGAACCAACGTCTCGCTCGATCGGTCTCAGTATCAATATCACTATCGATCTCAAGATCGGTCTTGCTCGATCGATATCACTCAATCGATCTCACAATCGATCTCACTCGGTCTATTTCATTCGCTCCGTCTCACAATCGATACGACTATCGATCTCGCAATCGATATTACTACCGATAGCACTATTGATCTCACAATCGATCTCACATTCGGTATCATTATCGATCTCACGATCGATGTCACAATCGATCTCACAATCAACGTCATCATCACCATCAACAACAGCGTTATCAACGTCATCAACATAATAATCATCATCATCATCATCATCATCATCATCATCATCATCATCATCATCATCATCATCATCATCATCATCATCATCATCATCATCATCATCATCATCATCGGGACACCATTTTCATCATCACCTCATCACCATCATCATCACCATTATCATCATCATCATCTCATCAGCATTTACATCAACACCATCATCATCATCGGGAAACCATCATCACCACCATCACCATCATCATCATCCTCATCATCAACATCATCATCATCATCAACAACATCATCGGCATCATCATCACCATCACCATCATCATCGTCATCATCATCATCATCATCATCATCATCATCATCATCATCATCATCATCATCATCATCATCATCGGGACACCGACGGACACCGGCGGGACACCGGCGGGACACCGCGGGCCACCGGCCCCTGGAAAGGAATCATTTGGTCCGGCCGCGCCTCAGCCGGAGGCGGGACACCGGCGGGACACCGCGGGCCACTGGCCCCCGGGAAAGGAAACATTTGGTCCGGCCGCGCCTCAGCCAGAGGAGACTCTCTTCTCGCCCGCCCACGCAGCTTCGCCTCGCCCGCACGCACGGCACGCACGAACACGAAACCGAAATCGACTTCCCGGTAGGGGGGCTCTCCGTTCCACTTCGATCTCACCCCCTCACCTCCGACACATACACATACACAAACACACGCACACAAACACGCGCACACACACACACTCACGCACACACACACACACACGCATACGCATACCTATACGACCACCCTTCGGGTGATAAGGAGGTTCGGGGGGGGGGAGGAACCAACGTCTCACTCGATCGGTCTCACTATCGATGTCACTATCGATCTCACTATCGGTCTCGCTCGATCGATCTCACAATCGATCTCACTCGATCTATTTCATTCGATCCATCTCACAATCGATCTGACTATCGCACTCACAATCGATCTCACCATCAATCTCCCTATCGATATCAGAATCAATCTCACATTCGGTCTCACTAAAGATATCACTATCGATATCACAATCGATCTCACAATCAACGTCATCATCATCATCATCATCATCATCATCAACATCAGCGTCAGCAAAGTCATCAACAACAACATCATCATCATCATCATTATCCAAACACCGTCATCATCATCACCTCATCACCATCATCATCATCATCATCACGAGCATCAGCATCATCGGGACACCATCATCGTCACCATCATCATCATCATCAGCATCGGAACACCATCATCATCATCAGCATCGGAACACCACCATCATCATCATCATCATCTCATCATAATCATCATGAACAACATCATCAGCACCATCATCATCGGGACACCATCAGCTACATAATAATCACCAACATCATCATCATCATCATCATCATCATCATCATCATCATCATCGGGACACCATCATCATCATGACCATCATCACCATCACCATCATCATCACCATCATCATCACCATCATCATCGGGACACCATCATCAACATCAGCATCATCATCATCGGGCCACCATCATCAAAATCAGCATCACCTCATCATCATCATCATCATCCTCATCATCAACATCATCAGCATCATCAGCGAGACACCAGCATTGCCACCATCAACATCATCATCGGGACACCATCATCATAATCACCATCATCATCAACAGCATCATCATCATCAACATCATCATCGGGACACCATCATCATCATCATCAGCAGCAACATCAGCATCATCATCAGCAGCAGCATCATCATCTCATCATCTCATCATCATCAACATCATCAGGATCATCAACATCATCATCATCATCATCATCATCATCATCATCATCATCATCATCATCGGGACACCATCATTATCAACATCAGCAACATCAGCATCATCAACATCATCATCGGGACACCATCATCATCACCACCATGGCCATCATCATCACAATCATCATCATCATCATCATCATCATCATCATCATCATCATCATCATCATCATCATCATCATCGGGACACCATCATCATCACCACCATCACGATCATCATCATCAGCAACAGCAACCACATCATCGGCATCATCATCATCATCATCATCGTCATCATCATCATCATCATCATCATCATCATCATCATCATCATCATCATCATCATCATCATCATCATCATCATCATCATCATCATCGGGACACCGACGGGACACCGCTGGGACACCGGCGGGACACCGCGGGCCACCGGCCCCCGGAAAGGAAACATTTGGTCCAGCCGCGCCCCAGCCGGAGGCGGGACACCGGCGGGACACCGCGGGCCACCGGCCCCCGGAAAGGAAACATTTGGTCCGGCCGCGCATCAGCCAGAGGAGACTCTCTTCTCGCCCGCCCACGCAGCTTCGCCTCGCCCGCACGCACGGCACGCACGAACACGAAACCGAAACCGATTTCCCGGTAGGGGGGCTCTCCGTTCCACTTCGATCTCACCCCCTCACCTCCGACATATACGAAAATAGATGAACAGAACCAAATCACAGTGGAGAAGAGAAGGTCCAGAACTCCCCCCCTGTTTCCCCCCCCCGATTTGGGGGGCAGGAGCGTTTGACTCCCCCCCTGCCAGCAGCGGCAGAAAGCGCTCTGTCAAATCAAGAAACGCCCATCTATGATACGCATCTGAATCCTTGCTGGCCCACATCTCAACGTCGCGTGCGCATGCGCAGACCGGCATGTCGCATACAGGCGGCGCACCTAGACGCCGCGAGGGCTGAACATCAACGTGAAAAGAGTGATATTGCCAGTGTAGCCAGAAGGTCGGACTAAGGAACGCGCTTTGATCTCACGGGGCTCACTGTCCCCGCGGCTTCCCAGCTGAACCTTTCAACCTGCAGCGCGAGCGCAAATCAAAACACCACAATGGGTAAGGTCGTACGGTCCTCTTGCAAGACACTGGCAGCATGATAGTGACTGTGCATGTATGAGTGCACAAGTGCACAAATTCGTACGGTGAGTTACCGGAGCTCCTCGTCCTTCCCCTCCTCCTGCTGCCCCTTCCCTTTCGCAACGGAGCCGACACCGCCGAGCCGAAGCAAGCCCAGCGGGCAAAAAACATCCGCCAAGGCTTGCAGTCGCGCGAAGAAGGGGGCCGCAGCCTCCCTCCCTCGAGGCGTTGAGGAAGCACGAACGGAATGATGCCGAGGATCAGCACTCGTCGGACGGCAGGTGACGTTTGTTGCCACCACGGCGATGCAGTGGCGGCAAACCGAGCGGCCCGAGCGCATCGCTCTCCTGGGCGAGCTGCCGCACGGCTCTCGAGGCCGCGGGCAGGGCACGCAGACGACTGTAAATGCGCTCGTGTGCCCCCTCGGCCGAAGGAATGACGACGAGGATGAAAACGATTATAGGCGCCCGCGCGACTGGCAGTGGAGACCCCCTGCCGTTGGCCCAACATAACCACTATGCCTCACAACCAGAGAAACCGCCCCGAAATGGCCCCAACACGGCTTTAGTGAGCTCCCTAAGACGGCCCAAGACATCTCCAAGAGAAATACCAGTAGGGCCCGAAGATGTCAGAATCACTGATTGCCCTCAGGTTTTGACAAGACGGTCCAAATGGCTCTCAAAATGACCCAGGGGCCTCCAAGACGGTTCAAGGACGCCCCGAGACGACCCAAGAGACCGCCAATCCAGGCGCCAGACTGCCCAAGGGCCCTCACGAGACCCCAACGGGCCCCACAAGCCCCCCCCCAAAGCCTTCAAGATGCCGGGAAGAAAGCAACGACATACACAAGGAGAGACACCCCGACACTTCTCATTAGAGCGCGTTGTATGTTACGGCTCTCCTACGCCTCGGGGCACGACGATCACACGTCACAGCTTCCTGTGCGCTACTGGATCAGTCGCCACCCGCAGTGCGGGGCTGGCGAGGAGGCGGGACTTGCCACTGGCAACCAGATATACGAGGGATGAACATGACGAGTGATCAGTATGGAGAAACCATGACAAAACAATCACCGCCGAGCACGTCCCTGTTCCGATGCCCCACCAAGGGAAAACGGGTCTGTCATGATGGTGTCGAAGGGCTCCGGCAGGTGGATCTCTGGGGCCTGCGCCGGGGCAGCGGGGCCGCCGAGAGCGAAGAGCTGGGTGCGGCGAGAACGTGTCCGCTCGAGAGGGGGCCTCCCTTCCTCCGCCAGGCCGAGAGTTCGCGACGGCAGCAATGGCGTAAGCGGCCAGGGGAGGGAGGGCAGATTGGGAAGGATAGCTGGGGCAACGGGGGAGCGCGGGCACAGGAGCATGGAGAGGGCAGGCGGGGAGGGGAGAGACGGAGGGGGAGGACAAAAAAGTGGGGGGAGGATCTCGTCCCTCTTCCATCCTCTCCCCTCCTATGATCATCATCATCACCACCACCATCACCATCACCACCACCGTCGCCATCACCATCACCAGCGCCAGCACCAGCACCATCGCCACCACCGTCATCACCACCACCATCACCATCACCATCACCATCACCACCGACTCCACCATCCCCCACCACCATCCCCCCCACCATCACTATCACCATCACCACCATCATCCTCATCATCATCACCATTATCATCCTGCTCATCCTCCTCGTCCTCAAAAACCTCATCATCCTCATCATTCTCATGAGTTTCATACCATCAAACATATTCCTCATCCTCATCCTCATCCTTGTCCTCATTCACTCCCATCCTCATCCTCTTCCTCATCCCCCCTCCTCACCAGCATCATCGATCTCGTCGCTCCTCCATCCTCTCCCTTCCCCCCCTCCCCAACCGCACTGTCCCCACGCCCCCCCGACGCTCCCCTCCTGGAGGCATGGCGGCTCCGGGGAGGCGCGCGGAGGCCTGGTACGACTGCTTCCCCCTGATTTCCGCCGTCGCCGACCTGTCCAACGTGGCCATCCTGCACCCCAGCCAGGCGCGCGCTTCAGGGGCCCGTGGGCGGGGACTGTATGATAAGGCAGGACATCGGCGTGGCCGAGAAAACTGCGGACCCCTGGGTCCAGACAATCTATATGCTTCGATTTGTCCGACTGGATCTGGCAGCCCCGCCAATGCTTCGTCGCGAGAGCGCCGCAAATAAGAAGACAGGGAACATAACTCCGGGATTTCACAAAGGGGTGTCAATGACCGCCGCTTTTGTCTGTGATGGTAATGTCAATATTGGCCCAAGACGTGGAGGAGAACTTGGAACCTGGACACTGGATCTGGTCAGGTCAGAAGGCGTGCATCCGTCAAACGCGTTGGCAAAAGCATCCATATCAATATTCGACCGACGCTTGGTGGCGCGCCTCGTAGGTACGAAATCCCTCCAGGTTGCGATAGCGCGCAGCGGAACAAAAAAAAACGCGTCAGAACTGCAAAGCAGGAGCACGGAACGCATCGCAACTGTGGCGCAGAAAATACAGCGTCCGACGGCGAAGCACATGACAGCTAGCAAGGGTTTGTAACATTCGCTCAACAATCCTCGCGGCCATGCTGCGTTTCCTCTCGCGCGCTGTGACTGGATACGTCAGCAAGCAACGAGGGGGAGAGGGAGACGGGCAACAACACAGGACAAACAGACAGACAGGCCCGCATTCCAGCCCCGGTGGGCGGCCCTCGCAGAGGGCAGGCGCATGGGACAAGCAGTCCTTCAAATGGGAAAGACTGCGGCTAACGCTGCACTGACAGATGTGGAAGAAACTAAATCACATGCGAGTGCACTACACAAGACTCAATGAGGTCGCTGTGTCGCAAAGCCTCCATCTACCGCATTCCACATATCATGCTGCATCGCGCAGCGTTGCCACGAAATGCAAATACCTTGATTGTTGATGCACTCCTGGACGTCGTCGTCCCAACGTCTCTTTGGCCTGCCAATGGATCGACGCGCCGTGCGAGAAATCAAAGCCGGATCCATGACATCGCTTGCGAAGACCAACGGTCGGCGTCCATGTTTGCCACCCGGTAAGCCCATCGCAATTTCCGTCTCCCTTGCTGGCGCACCCATGAATCAACATTTTTTGATTGGCGGCTCCAAGGACAGACCCAGGAAACGGGACGGGCTCGGCTGGGGCACAGGGCGAGATAATTGGCAACGACGGCGCATAGGCCGACGCTACAAGTGCACGCGCAGTGGACAAAATGCCCTTCATTAACATGCGGGCGACCCAGAAGCGGGGACGCGGGCATCAGACTGAAACAGACGGAGGAGAAGTCGCACAGTGGCGCCAGCTCGAACCGTACTGACCAGCGCGTACTGGCGTGAGTCACGCAGCGCTGTGGCAGCACGGGGGGCCCGTGAGGCCGCACCGTCCAACGCGACGAGGAGGCGAGAGAGCGACGAAAGGCGGCGGGCGCGAGAGCACACGCGGGCAGAAGAGGGGGAACCGAGGAACGCCTCACTCACATGGACTCCTGGGCGTGGTCGGGCACAAGCGACCGACCAGTGCACGAGGACGTCGACCCAGTCACGGAGTCCGCAACCTGCGACTGCCTGACCCAGAAGATTGGGGGGATGCAGCTGCAAGATGGCCGAGCACCACGGACCATCCCGCGGGAAGGCTGAGAACACTGCCAAAGGATGAACCACTTGTGCAGCCCATGAATCAACATGTGCAGCCTGTAAAAATTCATCTGTCATCCGCGCTGCTCTCCGGATGAAGTCTGCCCACGGCTCCACGTGCGCATTGTCTGGACAACCTGAAAATGCACATGTTGGCTCTCACTGGGGATTGCCGCCCACGTCGACGCGCTCAAAACCAACGCCGCGCGCATCCTCTCGCGTTACTACTTCACGCTTTACTGCTCACATGTGTTTGAGCACTCCCCGTTGCACACATGTAATGTTATGCTCTACGTCACGCGTCAAAGGCAATACTGCGCTACCACGCGGCATGGCGGGCGCAATCGTGGTGTTGGGCAGCCGACGTGGATCTTTCAATGGACAATGGATACTGGTGAACTGTGCTTGTGGACTCCATGCGCTGCCCATGTTTTCCTGATCCCGTTGTTGAGCACACGCCCGAAACATGTTCTCGCAAGATACAAGACGTCCCAAACATATGATAACTGCTGTCCTCGGGATGATATCAATGTCCAAACCGCTTACGCGCGCCGATGCAGCTGCCTGTTTTCCACACTTCTCGGGCGCATTCGTGAATCGATGTGTCTTGTCTGGATGCAATGGTACCCCCGCGCTATCGGTAGATATGTGGATGTCTGGCAGAATTTGCTTGATCTGGCACAGGGCGGTCGCAACTGCCAGCGCGTCGCCAGCGAAACGCAAATTGGTCAGCCGGTTGTTGCCCACGGGGTCCAATAGCTATCAGCGTTTCTTTCTGGCCCAGCCTTCTGCGCGCGGTCTGATGCCATGTTCAAGTGGCGCATTAAAACAACAATGAAGACACTAGGTCGCCTTGTTTCGCTCCACGATCCATATTGAACTCGTCGCCGAGCGCGTGCGCCCTCGCTCTCTGCATAAAGAGGATGGAGAAGCTGAATGCAAGGTTCCAGGACGCTTTGTCCACGAAACGCTTTCCAAAAGGAATCGTGCTCTACAGCGTCGACGGCGCTCTTGGAGTCTAGTACGCAATACCAAATCAGAGAATGGATGGATTCGGATTGTGCTCGGGATTCGGTTTTCTGCTCTGTATGGGGCCAAAGAAACAAGCGGACAGCGACGACGACGACGACGACGACGACGACGAGGGCGACGAGAACCACGGGGAGGAGGAAGAGAACGACGACGAGGGGGCGGAGGGCCGGCACCCCCATCCGTCGTATCGGCCCAGGTTAAGAGCAAGGGTAGAAGAAAGAAACGCATCGGAGTCACATTGGAGCCATATTGACACAATGTTGGGGTCGTCAACTAGGGTTTGAAAGGGGTCATCTTGGGGCAATATCGAAGTCGTTTTGGGCTCATGGGGTCGTCTCAGGGCTAACTAACATCGGGGTCACGCGGTAGCCTCAGTTCAGTCGGAAGACAATGGGTTCGTCTCGGTTTTCTCTTAGGGCCGCAGGGTCGCTCTGGGGTCATAATGAGGCCATTGCTTAGCAGGGGTGGGCATCTTGGGGCGACAGGGGTAATCTCGTGATCCTTTCAAAACCCTGCTGGGCCCATCCTGGAATCATCTTTCCGTTGTTGCCTCTCACTTATATTGCTACTGATGTTGCTGTTGTTGCTGCAATCGATGCTGCTGGTGCTGCCTGGGCTGCCCGTGGTGCTGGTACTGGTGCTGTATAAAATGTCGGGCCCTCTTGGAGCCATCTTGGAGCCCTCGCGGGGGTTTCTTGGGCCTCGCGGGGCCCTGCGGGAGCCCTCTGACGGCCCTGAAGAGGCTTCCGAGAGGGCCAAGAATCCAACACACATTTAAGACAAACCGCCTCCTTATTGGAGAGCGTCATGCATTAAAAACGTCGGTTGAAAAATTGGATCCTCTTGGAGCAATGTTGGGGCCCTCTTGGGGACATCGCCCTCTCGGACCCCTTCTGAAGCCCTAAGAGACCTCCAAGAAGGCCAATAGTTCTACGCACGCGTAACACAAACCACCTCCTTATTGGAGTGTATTGTGTCAAGTTTGCGTTACATTCCGGGCCTTCTTAGAAAACTCATAATGAGCCCAAGAGAGAATCAAAAAGGCCCCAATAGAGGGTTGTTTTTAGCTTCCTCGCGGGAAGGGTCACCATGCATCCGCTCTTTGTACAACTACTTCCTCTTGCGGGGCTCTGCTTGATGTTCGGGGGGCCTTCAGGAGGGTTCCAGCCTGAGGTTTCCAATCACTTCGCGTGAGCTTCGAGTGCGATTGCGCTGCTCCAACAAAGCTCCGAGTCGGGCCCAGAGCGCTCCAAGACGCTCACAATGGCTTCAAGACGGCCACAGAGACCTTGCGGATGCCCGTGGGGGGCCCCAAGAGGACCCCCCAGGGGCCCCAAGACCCAAGAGACCCACACCACAAATGTTCAACTGTTTGTGAAAGATTTTAGCGTTCTCCCTTTTTCGGGGTTCCAACGTTTCAAGAAGGCCCAAAGAGGCCACCAGGATCGGCCCAAGACGGCACAAGAGGCCCCCGAAGAGGGTCCCAAGACGACCCACGAGGGCACCAAGACGACCCATGAGGCCCACAATCCGGCCCAAGAGGCCCTCAGGACGGCTCCAAGAGGGGACCCAGGGGGCCACCGGAACTCACGTAGTGAGATTATGTGCATCAAGATCGTCTTTCGTGAAGCGGCGTGGGGGCATGCGGAGAGCCTTCGCAAGTGCACGCGGCACCAGGGTCACCATGCATCCGAACATTGCACGATTTCGTATGTGAGAAGATCGACGAGTGCTCGACCGCATCCCAAACATCACCATTAAGCTTGGATTCTCTCAGAAACATATACCTTTCAAGTCCTCTGGCAACTTCGCGCGCTTGTCGAATTCTCCAAAAAGCACGCGCTCGCGCGCGATATAATTGACCAGATATTCATCTCGATTACGTTTGGCTTCTGAGCAGAAGAACTTATCAACAGCCTTCGGCATCCTGCGGTTTTGGTTCTCGGTCAACGCCTTCTGGATGTGTTTCATCGCAGCCTGCCCGTCGTCCTCGTCAGACAGCTGCTCCTGAGAAGCTTCGATAATGATGATATCGAGGTCGTCTTTGGCATGACGATCGATGAAGTATCCGCGCTGTGCTCTCCAATCCCACCAGCCCTTTAGGGCGTCGGTGGTTTAACGAGTTTCCTCTTCCACCCCTCCTTCTTCCCCTTCGCCACTGACCTGGACAGGGGGGGCCGCGATCGGTCAGAGCGTCCAAGATCGACCCCTGGGAGGGCTAAAATTCGACACCCCTCACGAGGATCGTGGCTCCTGAAGGGGGGGCTGAAATTTAGGAATCCCCCTTCGTTGATCGATATCCTCCAAGATGGCTCCGAGAAACG